CGAAGTGAGGAGAATTCGAGAAATTCATGTTATTGCTCAGTTCGGAAAGTTTTATTATCTTATCAGCTTTCTAACACAGTGAAGATGAAGACTAGGCGCTCGCGCGCACGCGCACACACACAAATACTTATACACTGGTCAACTGCTGGTCAACGCTTTCTAGGAAACCATGTTCCTTTGTTTCCATGGCAACGTTTTAGTGACGTCATTCACCGTCATATTACGGCCGCTTGATTACGGTACCGCTACCAGGGGAAACCCAAGCTTTACAGGGACAGAGAGGAGCGTATTTCAGTGGTCGCAAGGTCAGGTCGTGTACAGTCCTGGAGCACTGGGATCGTGGATTATAAACCCACTCACAATATACGTGTAGGTGTATATCTGCGCCTCTATGCACTTCTCGAGTTCTGTGTAGGCAGACGGATTGCGAAGGGCCGATCCCCCGTCCAAGAAATCCTATCAGATAAAAAGGCAAAGCTATACCTGTGATAGGCAATGATCGACACAGGATTGTGAGACGTCGAGGCTCCCACATTTTCTAGACTGTCGGCTCACAGATGGCGGTAAAGTTGTCAGCCTTACGCGTCGGCCGCCCTTTACCCCCCAGGTACTCATTTCTGTTAGAGGTTGAGTCGACCCCTGAGCCATAGTGCAGCTGGAAGGATTAGGTCAATTGAAAAAATCCAATTACCTCATCGGGAATCGGACCTACGACCTTCAGGTTTGTAGCATTGCGACATTCAATATAGAGACACCTGAAATATGCCGAGGCAACAACATTTCTTTAAAGGAAGATGGGATGAAGAAACAGGCTCAACGAGGTCCCTTTGCTGTTACCACATTATGAAATATTGTTAAATGTTTGTGTAGACTTCGGAATTTTCTTACTGCACATAGATTGGGAAAGAATGCCTTAAGGTACCACACAACATTTGTTTTGCGCGTGTTTAACGGCGGTGCCAGTACTGAAACTATACCGTGTCAGTGAGAGCAAGATTAATACATGTGTAGCATTTTGGTGGAATGAGAATTGGCAGGGGAATCCTAAGTATTCGGAGAAAAACTTCCCCAGTTCCACTTTGTTCACCACAAATCCCAGATGGCCTGGCCTTGGATGGAACACGGGCCGCCAAGGTGGGGAGCCAACAGTTAACCACGTCAGCTATGTACCGGCCAACAATGTCTGCGATTAAAATCTAATTTCTATTTAATTTAGGATGAGTTGCATATTACATAAATTATGTATCTAAGAACTATGCTATATATGGAACAAATATTTTCTAACTATGAAAATTATTCTGTATCGATAAGAATTTTCTTTCAAACTCCTTTTGAAAGTTCGAAACATATAAATACGAGAGTCCTGAAAGAAGGCCATGCCTCTCATCCTTGTATGTATGTTGTCAGATTGAGATAAGCAACAGTTATTATTATGTTATAAAAATTTGATATTATTTTATAAAAAAAAATAAAATGATCTTTATAAACAAATGCTTAGTCACGGAACAAGATCAACCTTACCGATCCGACTGTAGGACAAATGAGTCCATCGTTTAGTGATGAATATATTGACGTAAACGCAGTAGCATTTATCTGAACTCTGAATCAAACAACCCACAGAGCTTCTAAGCTAGAGAGTCACGATCAGTGTCCGTAACATTCATTTGTGGAGGGCTTGTCATCACTGATTGTGTGGTATTACTGGGCTGGTCAAGAAATTCCATGCTTATGCTATATGAAATCATCGGGAGTTTTCCCACCAAAATTCAAGATATATTTTACCATGCTGCTATATTTGTTAACGGCTTAATCCTTTAAAGACTGAATTTCTTCACAATTTTATATAAGAATTCAGTCCGTACCTCACACGAGACACATTACGTCTCCCCTACAGAGCCCAAACGGTTAATGCTGTTTAGGGAAAGAGTCGCTGGTTATTGTAAGAATTATATGGAACATACAAACACACTCTGTAGGCAGAATGCAGAGTTTTATTATGTTAAAGCAGGTGGTACATATATTAACCACGGGGCTTTAAAGACTTATTTTACAGGGGAACTCTTGGATATGAAATTTCGTTTCGTGCTCGTGGTCTGTATGGGCTAATTTATCACTTTTTTATATTTCTACGACATGTTTCGACCCTATAAATTCATTATCAGGTAAATACGTTTAAGTAGTTGGTGTATTGTATTGATTTCCCTAGTTCATAATTTTAAAACTTGGTTGAAACTGGTTATAATTATTGTTTAATTCTGTTAAAACCAGCTAAATCTCAATATATTTCAATTAATACTCTTTGTTTCTGGCATTCCGCTGTTTCTTGTAACACACTATAGTTCGAAGACAACTCGACTTTCCACAGAAACATATAACCTCCATTTTCACGGTTAAACAGTAAACCACGCAATAAACAAAGAGAAGTATGTAGTTAGAGATCAGTTTGCTGACTTACCGGCCTTACTAAACGACCTTAAACTCAGAAGACAACGATCTTCATTTGACGAGTTATGGGTCGGCCCGACTTGAAGAACGCCCCATTCTTGTCGAGTCTGCAATCGAAAAATAAAAAAAAGCTATGCAAGTATTTTACAAGGTTTATTGCAGCAATGAAGAAGGCAACTTATAGTATTGTGGCTTTATGATTACTAATTGAAAGTATCCAGGTATTTGGCGTGATAAAATGCTCCAGGAATCTTCATGGTGATATTATTCATGTCAATGTACAGCATCAAAGTGAAATTCACTTGTTGATATGGTTTCAACTCGAAAATATTATTAGCAACAAAACAACTTTCAAATTCTTGGAGTGTTTCAAGACTGCGGACTTGTACCACTTGTTCCGCTACACTGAGAGAGAGAGAGAGAGAGAGAGATGTTTCATCCGGGTCTCTTAAACTCATACAGGCCTATAAATATATACAAATATTATTTGGGAATTTTAGCCAAAAAAAGCAACTGTATGACCTTGAACAATTTTTTCCCTTCTTTTCCTTACAGGAAAAGTTTTCTACAGGATTTTAGGTTCTCATAACTGTAATTACGAAGAGTTATATCTTCTGGGATATAACGCCTTGTAGTTGAAAGTAGACAGACGTTTCGGAGGAACTAATACCCTCCTGTTTCATGTAGAAACCCGATCTTTTACCAAGCGGACTTCTCTTCCTGCTACATGCTTCGCGCTGGTTTCTGGCTTCGCTTACTTTGTAATCCTGGAGACGAAGGCGAAATGTTCCTCCGAAACGTCCGTTGTCATTCAACGGACAACACGGAGTTATATCCCAGAGGAGAGAACTCTTCATAATGACCGCTGTGAGAACTTCATAAACAAATGTGTTATTTCTGTTCAGGGAAATAATTGAAACTCAGTACATACGAAAAAAAAAAGAGTTCGGAAATTGAGGTTCGCGACAGATTGACGGAGGGCGAGAGTCTGTCAGGTACAAAGCCTAGACCTACAGAGGGAGCCCAGAAATAGGTTCGTATGAGGAACTGTGGCGAAATTTTATCACATCTGCACGAAGGCTGATACTAATTGAAGAGAACGGGCTATAAACTCAGCCGATATAAGCTTCAGAGCATGGTCTGGGTAACCGACAAATCGAAGGTTTGATTTCTAACAGGGGCAAGAAATGTTTCCCTTTTCCGCAGTGTCCAGACAGGCTCCTGAAAAACTGGTGTCGGGGGGGGGGTTCTTCTTCGAGGATAAGGCGGCCGAGGCGTGAAGCTGATCTTTCTCCTATGCTGTATATCTGTATATCTCTGCTCTATAAGAGCATATTCCTTTAAATTTACCTCATTAGAGGACACTTACAGACAACCTTACTATTGAAATTTTTTATATTTTTTTATTGCTAGTGGGGTGGGACTAAGTCCCTTGTACTGCGGCCACTTCTGGCCTATTGTACCAGCCTCAGATGATAGGTGAGGGTGCTTGTGGAGCAATTGGTGGAATGAAGATTGGCAGATTTGTCCACCACAAATCCAACTTGACCAGACCCGGGATCGAACCCGGGCCGCCGCTTTGGGAAGCCAGCGACTAACCGCTTGAGCTATGGCGCGGCCGAACTATTGAAGTTGGTCTTTCTTTTTTAAGTTGCTTATTTAATTTTAGTAACGAAAATCTTTAGACGCGAAGAAAAGATAAAGTTGTGCCTGTGAAGGTGTATGGGGGAGTGGCTGTATAACTCCACCACTCTTAACCTCGGCACTGGATGGATGTGAGTGGTCAGATTCACGCCTCTACAACTTTACTCCTCAGGAAAAGAGCTCGTGGTACCCATTGGATAGGAGGCTGAGTGGGCCCCAATGTCGGTTTGGACGCTGTCGAGAAAAGATAAATCTTGCACTGCTTGGAATCGAACCCGGGACTTCCAGCCCGTAGCTATACCGAATGAACTATCCCATTAGTGATGATGATAGGATGATTAATGAATGCGGAGTGGTTGGTGGGGTAAAGGGAGACCGAATTATTCTGAGAGATCCAGTCCCTGTGTCACTTTATACACTACGAGTCCCACATGGTCTAGCCGTCGCCTTGGGAAGACGGTTCTACTAAGGAAGTATTATATGTCCCTTTTCGCCTTCTTGTACAATAAACTGTTATTTTTCTTTAGAAATTTTACGAAGTTTTCGATTAGATTTTATTCGAATTAAAAATTAACAGCGAGATGGAAAGGGGAGAATTCATATTCACTGTAAATATTTTACCTGGTAGAAATATAATGGAAATCCATTTCATATTTACGGAAATAATAAAAAGCGGATGGACAGGCATCCGAACTGTGCGATTACTTTACACCATTTTGCAATAAACACGCATGGAAATCAACCGCCACCAGCGCCACTACCAAACATTTCAGCAGTTCTCACCTGCAGCCGTTCGCATTTAGTTTCTTACACCACACAGAGATGGCAGGGCAAGCAATAGAATTCCTCGTTAAAACAGAAAGTGATGGAGAAAGAAGACAGTTTTCTCTCGTTGCCTTGGATACAGTTAGACGTGATGCTGGAGGAAGATAACAACTCAGGCGGAACAGTCTGGCCCACTTGCAAGCTGCACACTACGTCACAGTAGTGACGTCACAACAATGGTCTTGTCGTGATGTTGGCGCATGCGCTCCGAGTGGGTAGCACACGCGTGGTCGCTGTCAATTTTTCTCGGTTAGTTGAGTGACTTTCAGTCTCTCCGTGCTGCGGGCTGTGGTGGGGCTCCCGTGTGGATTGTGGTGCATTGTTGGAAGAAACAAGTGACTGTGTGAGTGTTGTGGCCATGAGAGTGAAAACCTGGGATTATTAAAACAAAATTTAAAAAAATAATACGAAATTGTGTGTGCACCTGTAAAAATAATCTTTATTACTGAAATTTAAGTGGGGCGAAAATTACGCTGTGGTGATTTCTGTTAACAGGTAAGTTTTGAATATTTTAAGATTTTGAAATGAAAATATTTTTATTTTTAATATAATTCAATTTTAAATTTAAATCGTGTTTAAATGTGTATGGATTCAAACACGCCCATGAAAAAATGTTTGGTGACGACACGGAAAAAATTAATTTTGGGGATATATTCAAAAGAAGATTTAGTGCTGAAAGGGCTAATATTTATTTTAACAGTATTAACAATCTTGCGTTTTTCTGTTAAGTAACGTAGCTTATCTTAATCGATTTTTGCGCTGTTGGTGGAATAAAATTCTGGTTTCTTTGTTACTTTCACTAATTTATACGGCCGTAATTTTATCGTTCACAGTTCAGGAAAATTTTAATTGTGTTAATTTAAAATTGTTCATTATTAAAAACACTCCAACAAATTCTAATGTTGTGGGCAAAGTCTGAAACAATGCGAAGCCTCAAAACAAATTTGTATTTATTTCTATGAAAAAAAATTGTGGTGAATTATGCGATGTCTTCGGGGCAAATCCATCGAATAAAATGCGACCTCACTTTATTCGCCGTTAAATAAAATTTAATTAGATATAATGAAAATTGTGGTTTTCTGAATAAACCCTTCTCTTTACAAATATTTGTATGGGTTAATTCGGACTAATATATCAAGTATGTCAGTGCAAATACCTGTCAACCTTTTAAAGTTACAAGATGATGACCGAAACAAAAGTTTTGTTTCCATGTATTTAGTAAAACGCTTTC